TTTTTTAGTTGTAGCTGGGCCCAATATCTTTATTTTAATTTTTTTTATGTGGTGCTGAGGATTGAACCCAGCGTCTCACTCATGCTAGGCGAGTGCTTTATGGCTGAGCCACAATCCCAGCCCCTCAAATTAAAAAAAAAAAAAAATTATAAGGACTGGGAGCTGGGGTGTAGCTCAGTTGGTAGAGGGCCTGCCTGGCATGCACAAGGCCCTGGGTTCAGTCCCCAGCACCACAATAAATAAATAAAATAAAATAAAATAAAATAAAGGGTGGGAATGTTGCTCAGTGGTAAAATGTCCCTGGGTTCCATTCCCAGTATCCCAACTCCCATAAAAAAAAATGACACTGTCTCTACAGTGTCCACCTGGAACCAGTGGAGGACCCAAGCCTGGCATTCCCAGGCCCCTTGCACAGATGTCTGTGTCTGCCACTCCTGCCGCCGCCTGTCACTTACCAGGTGCCGGGGGCGTGTGCAGGTGTACGTCTTCGCTGTACTCGCCGTACCCGGCTTTGTTGCAGCCCCGGACACGCAGCACGTACACAGAGCCGGTGTCAGGGTTCTCCAGGAGAGCACTGGTGCCCCTCACCTCCTCCCTTCGCTGCCAGCGGGCGGGGCCCGGCTGGGCAGGCACATCAGTGCGACGGAACTCGACCGTGTAGTGCCAGGCAGGTGGTGAGTGGGGGGGCAGCCGCCAGCACAGGAAGATCTGGTCATAGGCAAAGGTGCGCTGGGTGTCAATGACGGGTGCCTCGGGCACTGTGGGAAGAGACAGCGGGGGTCAGTCGGGGCCTGGTCACTGGCCTGGCATGAAGGGCAGGGCAGGCAGGAAAAGGGAGAGCAGCGGGAGCCGGGGGGGTGAGTGTGGGTGAGGGAACGGAGGAGAGAGCCCATCTGGGCACTGGGCACAGGTGGACAGGTCAGGGCCCAAGGAAGAAGAGGTGGGAGAGCACTGGGCAGGAGTCAGGAGGCCTGGACTACAGGTGAGTCAATTTCCCTTCCTGAGCCTCAGCTTCCTCCTGGGACACTTAAGGGTGTCAGACCAGAGAAGCTCCGGGGGCTCCTTTCGGCTTAGACCGTCTGGGAATTAAGAGGAGCCCCAGGGGGCAGACAAAGGCCACGGGAACCCAGGCAAAAGGGCCCTGAGCGGCAGAGAGGGGAAGCAGGATTGGGGCGGAGGTGCCACCGTCGGCAAGACAGAAACAGGAGGTGACAGAGGGAAAGCAAGCCAGCCAGCAGGGCAGGGAGTGGGGGTCAAGGGGAAGAGAATAGGGGTCCCAGGACAAAAGATGAGAAGGGCCAGGGCCTAAAGAAGGCTCAAAAGAGACMGCACTGGCCAAGTGGGAGGACCAGGAGGTCGGGGAGAGCAGAAAGAAGAAAGCACTGAGTGGGGGGCTGAGCTGCTGGGAGCACGGGAGGGGCCGGTTTGGGGGCCCGGCGGGGGGCAGGGCCCCCGGGGCAGGGCCGCTGACTTGCCTGGGGTGCTCCGGAGCAGAGTCCGCGGTGGCCACAGCCTACAAACAAAGAGAGGGAGAAGCAGCGCTGAGCGCGGTAGGACGGTGTGGCAGGTGGGCTGGGTGGGAGGCCGGGGAGCTCCCCGGTGGGCACTGCCCCCCGGGCCCGCTGCTGGGGAGGAGGGGAGGAAGGCTCTGGTTGGGCAAGGGCCTGGCCACCTCCTTACCTCGCAGAAAGCTGAGCTCCGTCAGCAGCTTCATCTCACGCCCCACATCCAGCTGGCAATGGCGAAAGGAGGAGCTGGCAGCTGGTCGGAACGTCTGCAGGGCCTCAGTGGCTCTGGCAATTCTGGGATGGGGGCAGGAAGGGATCAGGCACTGCCGTCTGGGCAGCCGCCCTTCCCCTTGATTTTGCCTTGCCTGCCCCTGAGAACCTTGGCCTCACCCCTTGGAACACGCGGGCCTCAGTTTGGCCTAATGAAAACCCTCCAGGTGCCAGCTCTCCGCCTGGTGAGGACTCTAGACACTGTCTGAAAGGTCGCTACCCCCAAAGGCCCCTGCCTCCCAGAAGCCTGGGCCCTGGGCCGTGCCCCTCGGTACCTGTTGTGCAGCTGTTTGGCTGCTTGTACAAAGCAAGGCTGGTCTGTCTCCTTAAGCACTTCCTGGGCATAGCCCACCAGGCCTGAGCCGTCCAGCAGGCTCCGGTGCTCCTGGAGCTGGGCACTGAGACGGGTCAGCCGCTCCTGCTGACATTCTTCAATGGCCTGAAGCAGCGATGCCCGCTTCTCCTCCAGCACAGCCCCCAGCCCCCGTACCAGCTGTGACACCTCCTCCTTCGCCTGCTGACCACTCACCTGCCCAGGGAGCAACACCCAAAGGACGCATGACTTACTATCTTCCTGTTGCAGCCTCCTGGGACCACAGCACCACTAGGATCACAGGGGATCTGGGGGAATCCTACCCACACAACTTAATAGGGCCAGACTCACGGTTGCCAAGGCCTGTATCCTCAAATGGGCTCAACTTTTTTTTTTTTTTTTTTTTTTGGTACAGGGGATTGAACTCAGGGGCTCTCAACTGCTGAGTCATATCCCAAACCCTATTTAGAGACAGGATCTCACTGAATTGCTTAGTGCCTTCTTTTGCTAAGGCTGACTTTGAACCTGTGATCCTCCTGCCTCAGCCTCCCCAGCAGCTGGGATTCCAGGCATGCGCCACAGCACCCGGCATTGGGTTCAACTTTTGAAGGTTTGTGCTAACCTTCCTGGATGACCACATCATAACTATAGGGTAGAGAGAGATCTACTTCCTCCTTTTTTGTTGAACTCAATTGATAAAGGAAAAAGGCATAAAGGTTGTATTTTGTTTTGTTTTATTTTTGGTACTGGGCACTTTACCACTGAGCTACAAACCCAGCCCTTTTTATTTTTTATCTTGAGACAGAGCCTTGCTAAGTTGCTGAGGATGGCTTTGAAATTGTGCTCCTTCTGCCTCAGCCTCCTGAGTTGCTGGGATTACAGGTGTGAGCCACCATGATTGGCTAAAGCAAAAAAGTTTTTTTTTCCCCTTTAATCTGGGATTGAACCCCAGGGCACTTAACCATTGATCCACATCCCCAGCCACCCCCTTTTTAGTTATTATTATTTTATTTAGAGACAAGGTCTYATTGAGTTGCTTGGGGCCTCGCTTTTGCTGAGGCTGGCTTTGAATGAGAGATCCTTCTGCTTTAGCCTCCCGAGTTGCTGGGATTACAGGTGTGCACCACCATGCCAAGCCAGCATAAAAGTTTTATTAATTTAAATTTATTTTTGTGGTGCTGGGGGTTGAACCCAGGGGTACTCTACCACAGAGGTATGGTCCTTTTTATTTTGAGATAGGGTTTGATAAATTGCCAAAACTGGACTGGAACTTCCTCCTGCCTCAGCCTCCTTTGTAGCTGGGATTACAGGCAAGTGCCACTGCACTGTGCCTGGAGAGTTTTATTAATTTTACATGTACTTGGGGATCTTTACAAAACAGTGAACCCCAAAGTAATCACCTAAGCCTGATGCTCTTAAACTTTTATTTAAAAAAGAACATTTTCTTTTTTATTTTGGGTACTGGGGATTGAACCTGGGGCCTTGCATATGCAATGCACATATTCTACCACTGAGATTTACCCCCAGTCACAGACCAGTATATTTGTAAAGAATGATAGAACAGGGCTGGAGATGTGGCTCAGCGGTAGCGCGCTCGCCTGGCATGCGTGCGGCCCGGGTTCGATCCTCAGCACCACATACCAACAAAGATGTTGTGTCCGCCGAGAACTAAAAAAATAAATATTAAAAATTCTCTCTCTCTCTCTCTCTCTCTCTCTCYYCTCTCWCWCTCTCTYTWWAAAAAAAAAAAAAAAAGAATGATAGAACAAATAAATATCTGGATTGAGGTAGTAAATCCTACGGCTGTTGCTAAGAGATAAGTGGAGAAGTGGGGTAGAATCGAGTGGAAGATAAGGGTTACTTCAAATAGTTTGTTTATTCAGGTTCGTTGTAGCCCCAATTATTAGTCTGTGGCGATTGAGGCTATTTTCAGGTCTTGGCACCTGAAGCACATTCCTTCCAAAAGAATATTTATGGCTGGTAATGTGTAGGGAAATACAGGCCAAATGGACCTTTTTTTTTTTTTTTTTTTTTGGTGGTGGTACTGGGATTGAACCCAGGAGCACACTACCATTGAGCTGCACCCCCAGTCCCCCCCTTTTTTATAATTTGAGAAAGGGCTTCACTAAATCGCTGAGATTGGGCTTGAACTTGGAATCCTCCTGCCTCAGCCTCCTGAGTTGCTGGGATTACAGGTATCAGCTACCACACCTGGCCCAAATGGCCCTTTCTGCAATTCAGTTCCTCAAACAATTTCAACTTGAAATAATCAATATACCAGTTTGAGATATTTTTCCTTAATTCCGTCATAATCCCAATCCCTTAAGGATTCATTCAAATAAGAGAGACCATGACCACACTAATGTCCACTTGGACCACACTAATTAATGTCCGCTGGCAGCTATGCCAACTTCATTGCCTATCCCCCCGTCTCAGCTGATCCAGTCTGGCACAAGATCAGAGCCATAACCTCACTGAGCTCCAGGCAAGTGTTCGATAGGAGAGTGAGGAGAGTGAGGCCGAGGACATCTGGACTCTCATCCTCAGCAACAGCTTACCAACCTCACTAGAGTCAGTCCCAGGGACAGCCTCCCCTGGGACACTAGGGTTCCTGCCAACCAAGTTTAACCAGAACCATGTCATGCACAGGTACCCCTCACAGACTTCCTGAGCTGGCAGAGAGGTGATGGGGGCAGGCCCACCCACATTCCCCTCTCCTTCCCACTCCCGGGTAGGGCCCAAGACCCACGCCCATGCCCTCCCTCACCTCGGTGTGCCTGACGGTCTCCTCCAGCTCACAGATCTGGGTCTGTACTGTGTCCTGGTTTCCCAGGATGTATGTCAGGCTCTTGGTCAGCTTGTCCTGAGGGGGAAGAAGGAGGTGGGCATCATGTCTGGCTCAGCAGAAGCCAGCAGTTAGGAGGAGGTATGTGGGTGCAAGTTGGCACTGGGGTTGGGTGAGGAGGGGTCCTCACCTTGAGGGCCTGGTAAGCGCTGAGCACTGGTGTGATCTTGTGCCCGCTGTGGGTGCGACGCACCCGGCAGAGTTGGCATACCAGCCGTTGACATGTCTTGCAGTAGTGGGTCACCTCTTCCTTGTGGTCTGGGCACATCAGGCCCTAGAAATACAAAGGGCAATGAGCTAGTCAGCCAAGGGTGCCTGTAAAGGTTCTGACCCATCACTAGACCAGCTGGGCGCCCCCACCTCCGCTGGTCAGATGAGAGGGGAAGGATCAGTGGGTGGTGCTCCACAGTGCCATCTGGTGGTGCACACTGACATCACAGACCTTTCCTGCAGTCCAGGCAATGCCTTTTCACCAGCATTGCTCCTTTCACCTATGGTTTGGGATGTGTGGTAATAACCATAATAATGGTGATAATTTATCTAAGGCTTGTGGTTCGTAATTAACTTTGTCCATCTTGTTCACTGCTGTACCCCAATGCCTAGAATAGCATCATGCTCCTAGGTGCTCAATAAATATTTGTTCAGTGAGTGAACAAAATATATAAACAGCACTTTGTACTGAACAACGATTATCTCCTGTGATCCTACTAACAACCCTGCCAGTGTGGATATTGTAAGGCACATATTCTCATCTCCATGCAGCAGAGTGCTTTCTCACATGACTTTATTACAGAGAAAGGAACTTGGGAGTGGTAAGCCCCTGCCCACCTCATTTTGGAAGCCCACAATGCCAGGCACCCCATCCATTCAGCACCACCCTGTCCCTCCCTCCCCAGCCCTGCAAGGGTTGGCTCACCTTGGGGCGGAAGGAGAGGGTGGGCAGGGTGGGCTCATGCTGGGCCTTCTGGGTGCCCCAGGGGTGGAAGAGCTTGAAGCACTCATTGCAGAAGGTGGCACGACACTCTGTGCAGCCCTTGGTGGCCTCTAGTGGTGGGGGCTTGCACAACTGGCACAGGATGGCGCCTCCTACGCTCACACTCTGGCGGTACCGCTCCACCACACGCTCTAGGGTCAGGTTCCGGAAAAGCCCCGCCAGGCCCCGCTCCCCCAGCTCCACGTCACCCTGGCAGGTCGGGCATGGGAACATGATCACCTGGGGGTGCAAAGCACCTCTCTTCCGCCCGGGGTATGTCCCAAAGCCTGTAGATGGACCCGGAGGTAGAGGAGGTAAGTTACAGCTGACTGGGGGTGGGTGAAGTCTGTTCAATTTTTAAAAATTAGATTTTTATTGCGCCAGAGCTCTGTTCTCACTAGAGCTCAATAAGCAACATCTACACCCCTGTAAATACAGACAGGCAGCCCTGACCAGTGATGAACCCCTTCCATCTTCCTGATGGATGGCTCTACATTCCCACCCCCGTCCCACAGGCCCCAGCCCCACCTGATTTAAGCAGCCGGTCCAAGCGATCTGGCTTGGGGAGAGTTCTGCGGGAGAGGCGGGGGCTGCGGGTAGAAGGGGTGGAGGCAGGAGATGTGGGCTCCGAGATCGGGTCCCCACCATGGCCTATGTAGCCCTGCTGGCCCAACACCTCCCGAGCACAGGCCTGGCACACGTTGTGGGTACAGGGCAGCACCAGTGGCTGCTTGTACATCTCTTGACACACTGGGCACAGCAGTTCTTTCTCCATGTTCTTCATGCTTGTCTGTGGAGGGACCAGAAGGCGAGATCAGAGCTCGGATAGTTGGGCATATCTGAGCAGGCCCTCAGCTGCCTTTAGAGATTCCCAGCAGTCTCAAGAAGAGGCAAGACTAGCTACCTATGGCTTTTGCCCAGGACCTGCCTTGGCCTGGTTCACGCTGCTTCCCAGCCCTCTGTGCCTTGCCTGTTTCCCTCCCGTATAGCTAAGACTCCACAGAGAAGGGATAGTTGGAACTCCTGCCTCCCCAGCTTCAACCCCCACAACCATCACTCGGGCTGCAGAGGCCCAGGAGCTCACCTGTCTCCATCCCTCCATCTCTGGGCTATCTGCCCCCACCCCCGGCATATATATCAAGGGCACCGCCCATTCTGCAGCTCGATGCGGACCCCCGCCCCCTTCTCTAGCACCCCCTCCACACGCGTGACTCCTCCCCGCCAGCCAGGCACTGCCTGGTCTCCATCCTCCTGCCGCGGCTCAGGCCTGCGGCCACCCCAGCTTCCATCCTTCATCCTTCACTTCTCCATCTATCTTCTCTAGTCTCCCAAGAACAACCCCTTCCTCTTGGCCCCCTACCCTTTGGACTTTCAGCGCTTCCTGCAGCGCAACCAGGTCGGCCCTCAACCCCTTCCCCAAGCTAAGGATGGGGGGTCAAGCGCCCCGCCTACTCGCCCCCTCCCCACCGGAAGTATCCCTCCCCCTTTTGGTGGCGGGGGTCCTCAAGCTATGCCCCACCCCCCACGCCTCACCTTGGTCCCTCTCTTCGCAGCCATCCCGGTCAGGGGCGCAGCTGACACAAAGGAGGGAGGGACAGGGAGGGAGGGGGAAGGAAGTGGTGGGGGGGAGCAGGGTTGGCACCGCCCCTGGGAGAGCCGGGCACGGGTTGCCATGACAACCGCAGGCTCGGCGCAGCCCTGAGTGGGGTGCGATGGGGTGGGGTCTCAGGGAGGGGTTCAAATTGGGAGATGCACCCTGGAGCAGCTCCTTCATCATTCCCTACGTGTCCTCAGTTTTCTTGGAAAATATCCAAGCTCACACATGCCCCCTTCTCATAGGTTAGTCCTTCCCCCCTGAAGCCCCAGTCCTGGTGCACTGCTGGCGGCTACCCCAGCCCACCCGCTGCGTCCGGGCAGCTCCTCGTTGCTTATGTCCCAGCAAACCCGCGCCTCCACGGCACTCACCTCCTGGCTGTCGGGATTACCCTCATACCTACATCCCGACCCTCCCAGTCTTTTCTGCCATCCCTTAGCCCCCTGTCAACACCCCAGCATCTCCCTGGATTCCCACCTGTTCCAGGTTCTGGCTTATCCCGGACCCCTCTATGCCCCCCTCCCTTCACCTCGACCCCACCTTAACTCACACTGATGCGAACCAGTGCATCCATGATGGAAGTGAAGGTCTGCAAATCCTCACCCTCAGCCATGGCCCTACCGTGCCCGCCCGCCCCCGGGTGCCTGATCCCGGCTGCGGCTGCGAACCCCGGGCTTAATGCAGGAGCCCGGTGGGGGTGTGGGGAGGGGTGGGGGTGAGGTGTCACTGCGCATGCTCCAGGGACCGGCCTTGAACGGCGCCCGTCGGGGTGGGGGGGTGGGTGGGAAATAGTTCTCCCCACGTGGTTTTGGAAGGGCGTTCAGGGGGGTTGGGTAACATGGAATGGTATTTGCATGTCTTATGTTAGAATTCTTCATTAGCTCTTATTTTTCCTCATAGTAAAGCAAGAGGCTAGTTTTAGAGAAAGATGAGCTCCAGGTTGGGAGCGCTTCAGTTTGGGTTGGGCTAGAGCCCACAGGAGATGTTGAGGCAGTAAGCGTGGCAGGTAGGTTTAGGAACAAGCACTAGAGGTGACATAAATGAACGGCAGAGAAGACACTGATGGCCTACAGGAGAGAGGCCATGTGCCCAATGACTTGAAGACGTAAGTGCAGCTTGTACTGAGAGGCGGCGGACCTACTGGGTACAGGGGAAGGCTGTGGACCAGGGCGGTGGCCGAGGATGCTCCTAGACGCATTGTTTCCTCCTTGTCAGAAGAGGGCGCTGCGTGCTAGCGCCGAGAGGGAGAAAGAGGAAGAGGTGGGGTGAAGCCAGTCCGCTTGCGGCGCTGACGCATGCGCACAACTAACCGCGCCCAGTTCGGCTCTCCTCTTTCTTGGCCGGAGGCTCGGATCCGACCCACTGCAGGGGCATGATGGGTAACAGGACCGACGGGATCCCCCGGCCTGGCTAGTGGGGGTCCGAGTTTGGGCGGGCCGGCTTTCCAAGTCCTTTCGGGTCAAAGCTGACGTGCTCCGGGTTCTAGGGAGCGGGCATTTCCACGGGACCGGAGGGGTCGGCCGTCCTGGGTTGAGGAGTTCCTGGGGCTCGCTGCGGGATGAGGGGGGCTGGGAGTGCGGCTGCAGCCCTGGGTGCCGGGAAGTAGTCGGCCTACCGAGCTCCGGACCGACCCAAGGTGCCCGTGACTCCTGGAGGGGGGCGGAGCCTGACTCGGTCCCTTCCCTCATCCCTTCCAGTGGTGGGTACCGGCACCTCGCTGGCTCTGTCCTCTCTCCTGTCCCTGCTGCTCTTCGCAGGGATGCAGATGTACAGCCGCCAGCTGGCCTCCACCGAGTGGCTCACCATCCAGGGGGGCCTGCTGGGCTCCGGCCTTTTCGTCTTCTCTCTCACAGTATCCTGCCTGCGCTGGAAGGGGAGGAGCGTTTAGGGGCTGGAAGGGTGGAGGGCCACGTAGACTTGTGCCCTTCCCTGGTCACCACCCAGTTCTGCCCCTGTTGTATTCCCTTCTCCTTAACTCAACGCAGGCCTTCAATAATCTGGAGAATCTGGTCTTTGGCAAAGGATTCCAAGCAAAGATCTTCCCTGAGAGTAAGTGTCTGAGTCCTCTCCTCTCTGACCCTCCCCAGACATGACACMGAATTTCTAAGTGCTTAGAAGGTAAAGGTGGTTAAGAAGAAAGAAGTTCACTCAACTCTCTGAAGATACTTTTGGATTCAGCGTCTAATTTAGCTCATGACATTGAATTCAGCTGGAAGAGAAGGACTCTGGAAGCCAGGACCAGTTACAGGGAAGGTTTCAGGCCCGCACAGACAAGTGTGGGCTGATGTTTGGCATTCATCCAGAAGAGGAAGCAGGACCAAGTTCAGAGGGGTTCTGATGTGAAAATGACCCCAAATTAGTGAGTTCTACTGAGGGAATTTGTGAGGAGCCTAAGTATTACATACACCAAATTTTTATGGCAGAAGGGATAACTCAGATTATTTTCTGTTTGGAATAATCCTTACTTGTTCCTGTAATTTAGAATTGATGATTTGATTACTTATGGGGAATTAAGTTCATAAAGCAAATTAGGCATTAAGGCCAGATCACCTAAGGAATGCCACATGTTCAGAAATTCACAGCAGATGCAACTTCATGTGAAGTCTCCATCTGATAAGACAGATCTGTCATTGTTGCCCTCATTTCTTGGCCCCCTCTAGTTCTTGCTCTCTCTACCTACCCCTGTTGCAGGCTTCCAGAGCTCCTTCCAAGTCCCAGGACTTCTCTCTGTTACATTTTGATCCCATGTGTACCATTTTCATTTATTTCTGAAAGGAACCATTGTTGGGGGGCAAGATTCTTGTTCCTCTTTGGCTTCCCAGCCCTCCCTGGCTGGGCACATGGGCCTGTTTGCCATTGCTTTCTGCCCTCCCACCTTCTCTCTTGTCCTATTCCATATGTCTTAAGGTCCTTTCCTGCTCCAATAAACGACTGTATCCAGACAATCAGTCTTCCAACTTGTGTCCAGGGGGAGCAAGTCCCTCAACTTCCATCACTAGTCAGCCAGCTTAACAAATTGATTCTCATTAGCTGGCACCTGTTGGAAAGGCCTTAACCCCCTTCCTAAATGGGACCAAGTCTTGCTCTTCAGGCTGAGGCAAGCTAGGAAGTTAAGTGGGCTTGGGGCAGAGCTAGTGTTCTAAGCATTGTGAAGACCCTTAGAAGTCCTCCTACTGTCATCATGCTACGCCCTTCCAAGCAGGTTTCCCAAGACTCAGGGGGCCTCTGATTTCTAGGCTTTGTGGACAAATGCCTGGTATTTCYGTTGTGACTACCACCTGACTCTTTTTGTCCCTTCTTGTCTCCTTAGTCCTCCTCTGCCTCCTTTTGGCTCTCTTTGCATCTGGCCTCATCCACCGAGTCTGTGTCACCACCTGGTATGTGCCTGACAGCTGGGTAAGGGGTATATCACCCTGGCTTCCCCCGCCCCATGTAGCTCTCCCTCTGTGTTCCCTCCTTTAGTTTTCCCAGTTTCCCAGTCCTGAACTTGGATTCTTTCCCTGAAGCTAGACTCTGCCCTGGCAGTAGGCTGGTAGCATGCCCAGTGATGCTGTGGTCTTTCTGTCTCTACTCTGCTGTAGCTTCATCTTCTCCATGGTTGGTCTGTACTACATCAACAAGATCTCCTCTACTCTGTACCAGGCCACAGCTCCAGTCCTCACACCAGCCAAAGTCACCGGCAAGGGCAAGAAGAGAAACTAACCACAAATGTCTAATAAAGTTGATTCTTTGTAGCTCTGTGAGCTGTGCTATGTTGTGGGCCTCCTCTAACAATGCCTGCTGGGTATGTAAATGTTAAGACAGATGGGTGCCTACTCTTGAGACCTTGTGGATGGGGAAACTTTCCCCCCTTTTCTTTTTTGCTGTACTGAAATCGAACACGGAGTCTCATGCATGCAAGAGAAGCACTATACCACTGAGCTTCAGCCCAGGCCCTTTTAAAATTTTATTTTGAGACAAGATATCACTAAGTAATCCAGGCCAGCTTCAAGTTTGCGTTCTTTCTGCCTCAGCTGCCCGAGTAGCTGGGATTACAGGTGTGTGCCACTGCATTCAGCTTTAGCCTTCATTTTTGCCAAATATTTATTGAGTACTGTCAGGTTGGGTGCTTTGGTAGATACTGGAGTGGCTTTTACTTGTGAGAGTCTCATTATGGAAAAGTGTATGAATGATCCACAATGGTGACCTTTGGTAAGAGGCTGCAGTGAAGGAAGCCCTGTCTGTCAGAACTGGAATAGATCTTGGAACAGAAGAGTTAGAGAAAAGCCCTTCAAGCCAGTGCTGTAGTGGGGTTCCCTGTGGGGCTTTGTTACTCCAGCTCTCCACCCCAAGCAACCTCTGATGGAATGAGGCCAGGGACTGCTCAGGTCCTGCCCTGTCTGCTCTGTCATGAGGAGTGAATCTGTCCAGAGTGCCTAACCTTTAGGGTACTTGGGTGTCTCTACTGGATGGTGTGGGCTTTCAGCGCACACCTGTCTTGATCAGCTTTGTATTTGCCACATGCCTGAAACTGGGCAGAAGATTGGTGAGTTGGTTAAATAAAAGAACTTACCCTTCCACCCTTCCAGAACAGTATTCTGCACATGGGAGGTACCTAAGTTAGGAAAGAAATCCCAGTGAAGATGAAGAAGGAAGTAAAGGATTCTGGTCAAAGATTTAGGCCACCTTGCCCTGCCCCACTCCCATTTGTGTGCTGAGCCCCAGAACCTTCTTGCCTTTTATGCCCTGCCCAGGAGGGAATGCTAAGCAGTTTCCCCAAGATGCCGACAGAGGGCACTGTGGGTTTATCTTCTGGAGACCAGCAACACCCTCCCCAGCAAGTTTTCCCTGAGGAACCAGGGATGAGAGTGTTGAGGTCTTGCTGTGGAAGGAAACTTCTTTTTTTTTAGGTGTGTAGGGGGCTGGTTACCAGGGATTGAATCCAGGGGTGCTTTACCACTGACCCACATCCCCAGCCCTTTTTTAAATTTTATTTAGAAACAGGGTCTCACTGAGTTTCTTCTGTCCTTGCTAAATTGCTGAGGCTGGCTTACAACTCATGATCCTCCTGCCTCAGCCTCCTGAGCCTCTGGGATTACAGGTGTTTGCCATTGTGCCTGGCTGGAAGGCAATCATGAAGTCTTTTGTTCTATCCCTCGGCTGGGAGTAGAGGTAGAGTTCAGTGGAGAGGGCTGGGGATAACTCAGTTGGTAGAGTGCTTGCCTCACATGCACAAGGCCCTGGGTTCAATCCCCAGCACCACACACACACACACACACAGCTCAGTGGAGAGCAGCCTCCCTGAGAGGATGGCAGTTCTAGGCTGCATCTCCCCCACTGATGTGAGGAGTGGGAAGGGTTGTGATCCATAGGAGCCTCTGAGGGAGGAGGGGTATTCCCCAGAATGGGCCCTGGGCCCATGAGGAGGTTGGATCGGTTCTAGGTCTTACTGTCAAACTGAATTTCTCACCTGGAGTGGGAGCAGCGGACAGAGGGCCAGGTCCCAGTCCAGGTAGACATAACTCTGGGATGGATTGGGTGGGGCCTGACAGCCAATATCCTCTGTGGATAGGGGAGGATAAGAAGGACCCAAAGTGCTGGGCGCGGTGGCACAGGCCTGTAATCCCAGTGGCTTGGGAGGCTGAGATAGGAGGATCAGGAGTTCAGAGCCAGCCTCAACAACAACGAGGTGTAAAGCAACTCAGTGAGACCCTGTGTCTAAGTTAAATACAAAATTGGGCTGGGATGTGGCTCAGTGGTCGAGTTCCCAGAGTTCAATCCCCAGTAACCCCCCGCCACACAAAAAAAGAGGACCCAG